ATTACCATTGTTTTTTAATATAATTGTGGTTTCTTTTATTGTTCTATGAATTTTGAGACATGTTAATAATTAAATTTGATTACTTATTTAATGTTTGTGGTACTAAACAGATTGAAAATCTAATGTGAAAGAGAGAGTGGTCCATCAGGAGCATTGTGGTCCGTTAATTTAATTAATGAATTATTGAAATGGACTTGACTCCCAACCCCTTGCTCTTGTAAACGGACATAATTTGGTGGGTGAGGCCGTGTCGGGCACATCACATGGGCTTTTATACTTGGGACCAAAAACAATCGGATATATTAGTCAGTTTTATGGACAAATCATTTTTAATTATTTCATTAGAATTAAGAAAAGGTCATTAAATTATGTTGATATAGTTTGAAAAAGAAAGAAAATCTCAATTTATATTTAGAAATGTATCGTCTTTAAAAATGTTTTATCTATCAAATGTGCTCCCTCCATATTTTTGTTGCAGGAGAAACAGTCATATCCTTTATTATTATTTTTATAAACAAGATTATAAAATTCAATAAATATGTATTCCATTTTTTAAAAATTTCTTTTCAGAAAATGGAAATTTATTTTCACAAGATAAACTTGTTCCATTATATTTGGATTTTTTTGGGCCAGAAACGGGATATTGGGCCGAGGTAAACTTGTCTCCATCAGTTAGGCCCAAACGATCATATAGGGTACTCATATATAAGACAAAAGGAAGTACAGTAATAACTAAGTGTGTGTTTGGTTTTCAGTTTATCAAAAGTTAATTAGATGAAAATTTATTTGATAAAAATCAGTTTGGTGAAAGTCAATTATTGAAACGAAATTTGTATTTGAATATATATTTTCAAAAGTCAAATTGACAAATTAAAAGTTGTTTGGATTAATAAAAAATTATTCTTTTGAAATGTACTTTTTAATATGTAATGACCAAAAAAGACATTAATTTATAATAATTTATAATTTTTATTATACAAATATAATATATTAGCAATGTTTAAAAAATGTGAAACAAATTTAAAATAACATAAAATTTAAAATGTTAAATAATAAGAAAAAAAAATATAAAATTTAATTTTGGAAAAAATTATGCAATAAATAATTAAATATTCATTAATATTGAATAATTACATATTAATGATTCAATCTATAATATACAATTTGATCTCTAATAGAATTCCAAACTCTATTCATCTCTCTGTTAGAAGCTGCTAGTGTTAATACGAACCCCAGCACGTATTACTTGGTGGACTCGCCTTGGGGGTGATCTCCAGATGAATGAAGAGCCAGCACACCAACTCCAGTGGTGAGCAAGATGACAGCATTTATGGAGAAAAGGGTGAACTTTCTCCTGATGAGAAGGAAGGCAAAGGCAACGGTGAAAGCCAACTGGGTAGTGATGATCAGAGCGGATGTGGAGATGGGGAGGCGAGTTAAGCCATAAGCATGAGGTAATCGTCGAGGTCGGTGAGAACACCGATGATGAAGGCTAAAAGGAGCAGGCACACGTTGACGGAGACAAAGGGCTTGGCTTGTCGGGAGAGGTGATTGCGAATGAAAGAGATGAATAAGGGAAGGAGGCAGACAAGGAATCTGCCGGTTTCGAGCCAGCTGGAGAGCCAGGCGTGTTTGCCGCCACAGAGGAAGTAGAGGCAACTTATGAGAAGGCCACCGCTGGTGCCTAGATGCTGGAGATGAGGAGCTTGGGATCTGTGACTAGACGGCGGAGGAGAGAAGGAGGAGCAACAGACAGTTGACGGACACACGAGTGAGAAAATGCAAAATGAGACAAGCCAGTGTCGATTGCACGTGAAGAAGGAGAAATATGAGGGTATCATAGTTTTTTATAATATTAGGTACCAATCATTAATGCTCACATTGTCTGATTTGTGTTTCAAAAACTCCCAAATGTTGCTTCCTATTTTTTTAGTTTTAAACCCATTTAAAAGTCCTTTTGAAAAGCACATTTCATCTGAAAAAAAAATCCCAAACAACATCCCACATCCCAAAAGTTAAAAATCACATTTGGGATGTGAAACGTGAGTTTATTAAACGCACCCTAGATTGTAATTACAAAACCTTTCAATTTGTATCCAAACAGGAAAAAAAGGAAAAATACAACCTGTTGGAGGAATTTATTTACAGATAAATATCAAATGATTTTGAAATTATGCTACAGGATTGAGGAACCAAAACATAATTAATTTTTAATGTAAAAAGATAAAAGTACTCTCAATTTAAAAAAAAAAAACTCCTCAACCACCTGCCGCTGAAGGTCCAATATTTTCAAACTTTTTATTTCACAAATGATTACTTGTTAAATTATTAACGGAGACTTGTTAAAGAAATTTAATATGGAGTGGGTTTTATAAATGTTTATTTTTTTATTATTAAAATTTTATATGTCAAAAACTCATAGGAACTTGTTATTTTGCTAAAATTTTCTTGTCAAGTTATGAAAAAAAATTTTCAAAGCTAGTAATTGAATTTGTCATTTCACAAATGGTTACTTGTTAAATTATCAATGGGAACTTGTCAAAGAAATTTAATATAGAGTGTTTTTTATAAATATTTACTTGTTTTTATTACCAAAAGCTTATAGAAACTTATTATTTTACTAAAATTTACTTATCAAATTATCAAGAGAAATTTTCAAAACTAATAATGAGACTTGTTATCTCACAAATGATTACTTATTAAATTGCTAATGAAAACTTGTCATTCCTGGTAATAAAAACAAGTAAGCATTTATAAAAAACAGTACATATTAAAATTTTTAACAAGTCTCATTAGTAATTTAACAAGTAATTATTTGTAAATGACAAGTAACCATTGAGTTTTTGATAAATGTTGACATGAAAAGTGAAAACAAAGTTAAATATATATAAAACTTTGCATTATATAATTAAAAGAATTTGTTAACCTAGTGGCTGGTAATTTTTTTGGTAGCCAAGAGGATATGGGCTCAAACCCCATCTTGGCCACCTTAAAAAAAGTGGCTTGCCTCCCTTGCCAATTTTATGATCGATACCAAAGCTCAGATGGCCGGTTTGGTGGGGCGGTCCAATCACCTACATCAAAGCTTCGGTGGCCAATGGTTGAGGAGCTTTTTTTTTCAAAAAAACATTTGAGAGGCAATTTTGTCTTTTCGTATTAAAAATTAATTATATTTTAGTGCCTTCATCATGTAACATAATTTCAAAATTATCTGGTACTTGTCTGTAAATAAATTCTTTCAATAGTCCTTGGTTGTAATTTTGCAAAGAAAAAAACGTTTCAATTAACCCTAGCCACCTATACATGTACGATATATAGTCGCTACGTAAGTGCGTATTATATTTTGCTTTCAGTACTTTAATGTTTTGTGGGGTGCCAATGACACTTGTCTCCCTCTTAATTTCATAGAACCTTTTATGTGAGAATCAAATTTAACTATATTTCCAACAGTCTACTTGACTCATCAATATTTAGTGTGACTTCTTGGTTTAGATTTAGACATTTATCAACCACGTTTTTTTTAATAATAAACCGTTTTTTTTTCTATTTTACCTTCTCAATGTTTATAGTGACACAAATGTGTGTACATGTGATTTGCACATCACCGCATGAAGCATGGACTTGTTGTTCGAAAGTAAGACGCACAATAGTTGGCCAAAAGAAAAGAAAAGAAAGATGGTGCATTTGTATATTAATTGAAGAAACACGAATAGATAGATATTATGTTTAAATATAATTGTCTTAATTTGTTTTTTTAGATATGATAATCACAAATTTTGAAAATGAGTAGAAGAAGTGATAATAATAATCATGTTTATTCTTTACCTAATAGAGGCAAAACTAATAATACGTACTGAATTATTTTTTAGTAGTTTTAAGAGGGAATAATTCAAGAACTTGTCGAACAAGCTATTATATATCATGGAAGAATAAATAAAATGCACTTTGCTATTTTTTTTTTTTAAAAAAAAACCATTGAACCCTCCGCTGCTATCACTAGTGTAGGAGCTTCGGTAACAAGTTGTAGTCTACAATTTTGAAAAAATGTATTTTAGATTTTGGTAAATTACTTTTTAAACATATTAAGTAGTTATAGTTTAAATTTTGATAAATTGTTCTTCAAACGATCTATGAATATTGACTACTTATTCCTAAAATACTGATAAGTTATAATTTAACCTTTAACAAGTAGTTGTTACTAGACTATCTATTCAAAGACTAAGTAGTGAGATAAGTTATCAAAATAAAAACTAAAGCTTGTTAATATTAAAAAACAATTAGTTAACATTCGAACACGATTTGAAAAAATTGTCAAAATCTGAATTACAAATTGTCGCAAGATCTTTAGTGGCCGTTAATAATAGGGCTTTAGTGATTGTTGGGGCTTTGGCACTGATCACAATGGTGAAGATTGGACTTTTTTGTTTAAATATATAGAAGGGAAATGAATTTTAATAATTTATCAATGAAATGTGAATGGGATTATAACTCAGATCCTGGCATGTTATTTTAGATTGTATTGGTCCCTTTTTGATAATAGAGTACTTTAGAGGTCATTAAACTCATATTCTACCTAATTTTAACAATAAAGTAAATTTTCGTGTGATTTTGTTTAAACCAATTTATAGTGTATATGTATAAAAGATAACAGACTCATGAATAAAGTTGCAAAAATCAAAAGTTGGAATGAGATTGCATGCCTCTCCTTTCCTCACAAATGTAAAATATGATACTCCTTTTGTTTAAAAATATAAAATATTTTTAATCGAATTTAATCCCCCAATAAAATAATTATTAATTTTTTAATTAACTTTATCTTTTCATATTTACCCCTAATAAACACTTTATAATAAATATAAAATCATTATCAATGGGGATATTTTTGAAAAAAAATGCAATGATCACACTTTAAAAGATTAAAAATATTTTATATTTTTGAACATTCAACTCCTTAAAAAATACTTTATATTTTCGAACAGAGGGAGTAGATACAATACATAAAAACAATAAAAAAAATAGCAAATTTTCATACAAGCAGGAAAATACTAGTGTAAGTATCATTGAAAGAATCTTATCCTCTCATTTGTTTACCCTTGCCCCAAAGATTTTCTTTGGAATTCCTGTCCTGACGCCTCTCTGTTTTTTTCATAGCTGATCATGTATTTTGATTATACACCTTATAAAACCAAGGTACAACCGAATCTACCAAATAAACATAGTTCTATTCTTCCAAACTTTTGGGTTGAAAAAAAATTTTCTAAGCATCAAGCTCACAATGGAAAATTGGAGCAGCAATCGAGCACAAATCACCAAATATGATGTCATCAGTTTCAGTATAGCTGCTTGAATCATGACAATCAAAGAATGTCTGAATATCTTCAGGAAATGTACGACGAGGAGGCTTTGATTCTGAAGTTGCTGTTGCAGAGTAATTATGGTCTCCAGCTGAAGTCCTCTCCAGCATTTCCTTGAACTTTGATGATTGCAAGAGAAGCCCTAGTGCAGATGATGACGGAGCGCCACCGCTGGATCGTGGTGGGGCCACCATTGTCTCACCAGAGTTTGAATTGAGCTGGTGGGACACAAAACCTAATTCAAGCTCAGGCTTAGGGTTTGTTCCTGACTCAGTGCTGTGATCACTTGTGGGGTTTTCAGGAGAGTCCTGGGCTTTAGGAGGGAGCCAATTGATGTAACGGCTGAGGTCAAAGTTTGTAACGGCGTTGAGTCCTCTGTACTCTATGGCTGCCATGTCATATGCCGTGGCTGCTTCTTCTTGTGTAGCTGTACCGTACAATGGGAAGAAAATCATGATGCAAAAGCATATTTCATTTCATTTTAAATAAGAATACCAATAATTTTTAACATTGAAGGCAGATTTCGGTGGAAACTTTGGCATTACTTTGAAAAGAATGAGATCATGAATAAATAGCTTTATTAAGTAGTTGAGGTTCGGTGATCTACATCCCAACCAACTGGATTTGATTGCATGTACATAACTTTGACCTCTATTGTTTTGTCCTATTATTTTGAACTGTAGGACCATTTTTCTGGTCAAGTGGGAATTTACTATTTGGAATGCAAACTCAAATGCAATTATGTTTATATACATATAATATTCTCTATCCTGTAAAAATAATTTTTCTAAAATAATTAAAATAACTATCAAGTTTCTAACATTAAGCTAATTAGGTGGTAAAAATAAGATGGAATGTGTGGGGATCCAAAATATTATGTATTTAAAAAAATTGATAAGTTTCTCCTAAGGGCTGGCCTTAATAAGTTGGCAAGTCGTGAAACATTGTTCCGATTCGTTGCCATGTGTCACAAATAAATATGAATCCTTATTTTGCGTCCAAATACTAAAGGCCATACATGGTGGTTAAAGGAGATATAGAAGAATGGTATATTAAATGTATTGAAAGGGACGTTTTCGTAAGGTTTCTCAAAAACTCCATATATCCAAAAGTTTAAATATATATATATATATATATATATATCTATTATCTACCAAAAAGAGGTTATAAGTAAGAAAAAGCATATGCACACGTCTTTTTCAACAAGAAGGAAATTAAGCGCACAAATTTTTGGCCATATAGTTTGTCATTGACTGATTGGGGGAAAGAGATTAACCACATAATGCAAATAATATACATTCTCTGTTCATGATCCACATGAAGCGCAATGCAATTTTGAGCATTTCCTTTGGGGAATTATTCGTCTAGGTTTGATATTCTTTGCAATTTGTTTATGTTACTGGATTTTGATTGAAATTTACACCTATGACACACGCACGCACGCACGCACATACTAACTACCCTGGTTCCAAACCTAAACCAAATAAAAAGTTGAGCAATAGGGAGAGAGTTTCATAGAGCGTTTAAAGGTCAAAGGGGTTACCGTAAGTTCCGAGATAAAGATATTTGTTGCCGAAGACTCTGCCGATTCGAGCCTCCCATCTTCCATTATGATGGTGCCTGAAAAATTTTTAAATTTAAAAGTCAGAGCATTTCTAAGTTGTAACCAATTATAGATGGATCCGTCATGGAAATTGCCCATCCATCTGTCATCAATTGGCACTATATTGTGCCTTCATTAATATGATTCACCCATGATCATTAATAACCGAACTTGTGGCTAGCAAGTAGCCAAGTGAACAAGCGCAGCTTCCTAATTAAAACTAATTTTAACAAACATTTGACTATATGTGATATATTTATCAGGATTACCTTGCTACGCCTCTATACTTTGAGACTCCTCGAGAGAATCCACTGCTTTTTCTGTACATGAAAATTTGTTTATTTACAGTTAAAATATGGTTTCGGATCAGTAAAACATTTCACTGCTGATGAACAACTAAGAACCTTCTTAAGGATCCAATGTATTCTTCTTTTGATTGACCCTCCATCTCCTTGAGCTCTTCTTCATAACTTGTAAGCTACAGTAAATTCATATCATATATGATGAGTAAGATATAAAACAGAACATATATTTCATCTATCAACTTTTATTCATATAAACATATAACGAAGAAGAAGGATAGAAAATTTTACAGGAAAATTGAGGATGGTGTCTTGGCCCCAGTACTTCAATGCTGCCAAGTCATAGGCACGTGCTGCAGCTTCTTCATCATCATATGCCCCTGAGAGACCCAAGTTTTGGAGCCATTTATTAATATCCCCATCCAATCCTACTACCCACAGGAATGAATTCTCATACCAAACTAGCCAAAATCATGAAGGTAAATATGATCCACGATTTCCCAAAGTCGTTTAACATACCTAAATACACTGCATATATATAACCAGTTGTTTTCCCCATTGCGTGATCGATCGAATTGACAAGAAATCAACCAAAAAAAAATAGATTGATCAGTGGAAGCTAAATGATTAATTAGACTTGCGGATCAAGATAATTTAACAGCAATAACAAGAAGGAAGAAAGAACTTCGTCTTCCTGTAGAAGAGGGCGATGATCTAATTTAAGTTAAGAACCTTGTCTTCCTTTCTTGCTCTGCGATTCATTCCAGCAATTCTTATCCCAGAGATGAGCCTCATACCGACCCGTCCAACGATGCCTGTATAGTACACGCACACAGCATAAATCCTCACTCTGGAATTAATGGGAGCAAGAATTGAAACAGAGCAGAATCCTACAATTGCAGAACGAACGAAAGAACGAATAAATTGAAGGGAATATATAAAATTAATAAATACAGACCTTGTAACACCCCGATAAACGGAGCTCCGTTGGGAAGGAGAGTCTCTGGGAATGCTTTTGCGAGTCCGCTTCGTCTTCGTCTTTGAAGTCGTGCTGCCATTTTCAGCGTTCTTCACCTTCCTCTGTGACATCTTCGCCATTATCACACACCTTCACAACGCAGTGCTGCAACTTCACACACACATACACACACAAAACACACGCAGTTTTTAAGAGACTGAGATAGGAGTGAGACCCTATATCAATTGTGACCAGGTCACCCAACAAGAAGGGCATTAATGGAAGAGAAACAGAGTGAAAAAGTAGGTCTTATCCTATTCCCTACACGCTTCTCTCTCTCTCTCTGATTCATTTTTCTTCTTTAGGTTGTCTAACTGTTAAAATGGCAAATTTTTAAATTCGATTTTTTTTTTCTGTTGTCACAGATATATAATTTTGTAAGAAAATGAGCTTAGAAAGAACATAGGAAAAATCACTACAAAGTCCCATACCAATTCTAATTATCACAAGGGCTCATACAATACATAAACTACTCTCAAGTACCAAATTACTTATTTGTAGATATTTTTTTATGTATAATTATCAAATACCCTTATTCTTTTTTAAGAAAAACTTAACACGTTAGCCACCGGTTGTCAGAGCTCCGGCTGGCCACCAAAACTCCAATCAGCCATCATCGTTTGTGTGTTAAGTTTTCTTTTAAAAAAATATAGAATAAAGATGACTTGGTATAATTATATATATAAATATTTACAAGGAAGGGATTTGGGATTTAAAAATAATTTATGCAATTTATAGGATTTTGTGATAATTAGACTTTCTATCAGGAACTTTGAAGTAGTTTTTCAATGTATACTGGGTTTGTTGTTATTGACTATTTGTTAATAGAATGTGATGGAGGAAGGTGGGATCTTGGCAGTTAGTGGTTAGGAAAGTGAGGGTGTTATAGAAGAAGAGGGAAAAAATAGCCGGCGAAAATTGGGTTTTAATTTGTTGTCGTCTTGAAGCCGTACTCGTCGCATACTATATTTTTGTTACCATTATGGGATATGATATCGGTTCGGCTTGAAATGGTTTTCGTCTATTTTTTAAATGCCTAAAAAAATTATATTCGAAGTCGTTTTGACACTTAATGTGCGTTTAGATAGATCTGAATTCCCGGGTGGGCGGGGGGGGGGGGGGCACTGAGAGGAAACTGACTATCATTTCATTTGTTATCAAGTTCATGTAGATTGTGAGCCTATACTTTTATAAATTGAAAATCATTATTGCGCACTATGTCTACAGTGGATGTTGTTGTCATATTTCTGCAAGGGTTTTTTTTTTTTGTGTTTGTTTGTTTATAAATGTACTTTATCCATTTTGATATAAAGTGTTTTTAATTAAATTTTATATATCAATAAAATTTTATAATCTATTTAAAAATTAATAAAATTATAATAATTTTTTAGTTTTATCTCTAATAACTTCACAACTAATATCATGATCATAAGTAAAGCATGCAATTAATATCTTTTTTCTTGTTTGAGATAATAAAAGCAAAATTATTTAAATATTTATAATTTTTATGGCACGCATTACATTTACAGACAAATCAAACTTTAAAAAATATACTCTCTATGTAGGGAGGAGGAAGTGTAGACCATGTTTTTTCATTAAAATTATTTTTTAAAATTTATAAGATATTTTAACTAATTTTTATTTAAAAACAATTATTATCATTAAAAACTACCCACTCTTTTCCATTTCTCTTATTTTTTTATAATACCATGTCTGCCTTTATTTAATAGAGCAACTTAATTATAAATACTCTCTCCGTTTAAAAATATAAAACATTTTTAATTGAATCTCACCTCTCAATAAAGTAGTTACCTACTTTTCAACTAATCTTATCTTTTTATATTTGTCCCTATTAAACACTTTACAATATATATAAAGTCATTATCAGTAGAGGCACTTTTGAAAAAAAAAAAGCAATAATTACACCTCAAAAGACTAAAAATGTCTTACATTTTTTAACATCTAACTCATCAAAAAATATCTTATATTTTTTAACGGAGGAAGTAAATATGAAAATCTCATTAATTTCAAATGTTAATTAAAGACCTTTTAAACTAGCAAAAACAAATTATGGACATTTAAAAAATAAATCAATCTTAGAAAACATCAAAATGTCTTATATTTCTTCTTCTTCTTCTTCTTCTTCTTCTTCTTAAAATGTCTTATATTTCTAAACATAAAAAAAAGTAAAAGATGTCTTATAATTTTAAATCAAAGGAGTAACTTTTATATTCATCATCTAGTATTATCAATGTTGTGTGAAATTGTTATTTTCAAATTCATGATACGTGAGACCATTAATATCAATGATGACATCATGGTTGCTGGTATCTTGGGAATACATTTGACATATTTATTTAATGTGATTGTATATCTCAAAACTCAAACTCTAAACCCTATGATAAGTTGACTCAATTCCCTTAATTATTTGAACTAAGTGCCCTTCAAATTTTTAATATTTTATATTAATAAAAATTGAAAAAATTATGTATAGGCCCTGTAAATTAAGCTTATTTACAAATAAATCATGCAAAAGTTAGAAACCACAAGCAAGTCCCTTGGGAAGGGACCCAAGTATAATTTAAACTTGGAATGTGAAGATAATAATGTCCTTACTTATTGAATATGTGAAGTTATAGTTATAAAAAAATTGAAGTCACATTTGTAAATTATTGATTAGTAGCTACAAACAATCAATATTAAACTTTGTTAGTAACGTATGATCGATTTAACTATTAAATACTTCATTCATTCAAAAATTTAAAGCATTTTTAATCAAATCTCACCTCTCAATAAAGTAGTTATCTACTTTCAAACTAACCCTATATTTTTATATTTACCCCTATTAAAAACCCTACAATAAATATAAAATCATTCGTTAATAAGGGCATTTTAAAAAAAATAATGATTACACCTCGAAAGACTAAAAATGTCTTATATTTTTTAACATCCAACTTCTTAAAAAATAATTTATATTTTTTAACAGAGGGATTATATAAAATTACAGTTATAAAATATCAAAGTAATAGCTGTAAATTACTAATGAGATAGTTGTAAATAATTAGTGTTAAATTTTATTAGTAATGCATGATCAATTTAACTATTAGATATATGAAATTATAGTTGCAAAATATTGAAGTGGTAGTTATAAATAACTAATGAAGCATTTGTATGCAAATTAATATTAAACTTATAATGCATAATCATTTTAACTATTGAATACTCCCTCCTTTAAAAAATATAAAGCATTTTTAATCAAATCTCACCTCCCAATAAAGTAGTTATTTATTTTTAAACTAATATTATATTTTTATATTCATCCCTATTTAATAGGGTGTTTCACCCTAAAATAAATATAAAATGATTTCTTCAATAGGAGTATTTAAAAAAAATAATAATTACACCTTGAAAGACTAAAAATAATTTATATTTTTTATCACCCAACCCCTCAAAAAATGTATTATGTTTTTTAATGCAGGTAGTATATAAATTATAAAGTTATAGTTGTAAAAAGCTAAAGTGATAATTATAAATTACTAATAAAGTAGTTGTAAATTACTTAACTGATATAATGTACTTTTAATAGGGGTATTATTGTTTTTACATCTTAATTTTAAATTATAATCATATTTCAAGGGACCTAGCTATGGTTTATAAATTTCACAGGACTTATTTGTAATGAGTCTACTCCATAAGACCTATAAGTAATTTTTTCATAAAAAATTTATAGGAAGTAATACTATTTACAAGAAATCACGAGATTAAATTCGCATAAATGTGAAAAATATTTTTGAGAGAGCTACTCTTAATTGAATTTGATAATATTTGAATATGATTCAATCAGATGGTTGCATAAAATAAAGAAATTATACATAATGTAATTATCTATAGAGTCCATCTAATGTAAACCCTGCCTCTGCTTGTATATAAAAATTGATATGTATTTGAATATCTCTATTATTGGATATTAAGGCCCCATATGCCTGGGTGGGTGACCTAATAAAACATGTAAACTAATCCATGTTTTTTTATTTAATTTTTTTTTACTGTTTCTTTCGTCTGTTTCAAGAACCTATTTCTCGTTTTGCTTTTTCTTCCTTGCTGTTTAGTTGGGGTACGAGCATTCATTTACCACGTAAAAGCAGCAGCTTCATGTCTTCTCATTATTTAATTACTTGTTATGGCTATAAAGTCATGATATATATATATTAGAAAAAATTACATATAAGTCTCACCAAGTTGACTTATTTATAAATAAGTCTCTTAAAATTTAGAAATCACAACTAGGTCTTCTAGGACCCGAATATAATTTAAAATTAAAATAAAAAGATAATAATATCTCTGTTAAACATATATATTCAGTATATCAATTTAATAATTTATAACTATTTTCTCAATAACTTATAACTATAACTTCAACTTTTTATACGTATAACTTTATATATTTAATAATTAAATTAATCAGTTTAACTATTAAATATATACAATTATAATTATAAAAAGTTAAAATTATAGTTGTAAATTATTGATGAAGTATTTGTAAATAATTAATATTAAATTTTGTTAATAATGTATGATTGTTTAATTATTGAATATGTAAAATTATAGTTAAAATTGTTGTTATAAATTATTGATGAAGTAATTATAAATTAATTATTTGATTTATATGTTTTAGATGGTTCTTATTGTCTTTACAGCCTAATTTTAAATTATGTCCAGGTCTTAAAGGACTTGGCTGTGATTTCCAAAATTCATGAAACTTATTTATAAATAAGTATACTTTACGGGATTTATACATAATTTTTCTTATATATTATTGAAAATTAGGTCAATCTAGCTAGCTAAGCTAGTAAATCTTTGAATTAATGCCTAGATCAATTTAATTTTTTTTTTGTTGCTCATGACTAGCTTAATGACGATTCAATTGTAAGTATATAACAATGTTTTGAAACTTAGACTAATTTGAACAATTGAATTGGCCAAACTGTCACTTGGTGAAAAAAGTGATTTGGTTCAATCATTTAACTCGTTCTAATAGTTGGCTTGAGTTAGCCTGTTATGCCTATGCAAGTTTTGAAAACTTGACAAAATTTGAAATCTGAAATAGTTGAAACGTTTTCAATCATTTTTTTTTCTTTTTACTCTTATTTTAATAATAAAATTTTTTGTTTGATTTAAAAATATTAATATCAACTTACTTCTAGGTTATTATAGTAAAACTTGAGAATGATTTGTTT